AGCCATTTGGAAGCATCAATGGTTAGAAACCATGGAAAAATGGAGGTATGAGGGTTTTAGTCGAGCTAGTTTTTACCTTGATGAAGATATACACCATATAAGCTCCTGGCTGGTGCCTATCGACCTGCTCAAATCTTTTGGATCCCTGGCGAACATTCTCGCAATGATTGAAGAGGGTGACCAAGGTTCACCGCTGAGAGAAAGAGTCCAGGCCATTCGTGATGATGATGGATTTATGCAATGTCTTGAACTTGAATGGACCAAGAAGCGGCGGATGAATCATGGGTTCTCTACCTATGAGGAGGACGAGGATGATGATTGGATTGATTGGGGATTAGGGTGGGAACTAGTACAATGGTAAGGATAAGGATAGGCCAAACTACGAGGACCAGAATCATGATTATGACCAGGACCATCGCTGCAGGTAGTCAACAATGGAACCTACATGGCTTTGCACACGTAGACAGGAAATCACAGCCGAAGGAAATGTAATCATAATTGGACATTCTGCAATGAATCATAGTTTCATCGGCGGATATGCTTTTTGACTGGTTTCTGAATGGTTACATTATTGCCGACTTTTACGGAATCCCCTCTGCGGTGACATACAAATCAATATCTTGCGATTAAATGCATCGACTATTGATTAGGGTTTACAAAAGACGTTTAGTAGATAATTGACGGGCCGCCTGGCTGGAATCTAACATACACATTCCCCACTAATACGCATGTCTCTCTAACTGGTGTCATCGAACATGTTTCACATCTCGTATGCGAGCGACAAGTGCTCTGCGCTCAAAAATCGCGTCCCAGCCACGAAGCAAAGAGAGCCGGGGAAGAAGACGGGTTGACAAACTTCAACCCGAGCATGTACGCGACAATATCGTAACTATGTTCTCCCAAGCTCTCCCCTGGCCGTCGGGGCGCGTGTGATGGTATTGTGACCCTCGGACGACGTGGAGGTGGGAAATAGGTGGCTTGATGGAGATGATAGCAGCCGCAGTGTGGAGAGCGTCGTCGGAGATGAACGATGGTGACGAGAGCAAGAGTATGGGGTATCCATTGGGGTCCCTGTTCTGAGCGAGGGTCACTAAATCGCAGTTGGAATCGTGACAGAATCACATTCGCCCTTCTAGCGTAACGTCGTCGACGAGACCAAACGCGTCCTCGACTAGTCCAGGGCGACTCCCATCAAAGGATAAATGGATGAGCCGGCCCGGGTTCTCATATGATATGGGCGGCGGCCGGACCCAGGCACCAGAGTGGTACCCAGAGGCACTTGCCAGAGGCTCTCCCCCCGAGATAATCAGGCCTAAATCTGCGTCGCCACATGGCA